ATCGAGAGATCCGATCCTAGGTCAAGATTTGTTTGACCGGGAGGGCTGTAATATTTAGGCTTAAGGAGGATTGAAGACTGTAAAGTCTCTATCCCAAAGTCAGGTTCCCGACACCAGTTTGTCAATTTAATTCCGCAGACAAACACACGTATGAGATCTGATTCAGACACAAATTAAGAGTCAATAAATTTAATAAGACATAAGAAAATAAAAACTAATACAAATTATTAAATGAAGAAATGATATAACTACCACAACCAAGATACTTGTCGAAAGATATATGGACTTATACTATACCCGATTCGCGATCGAGAGAGAGAGCTCACAAAATCGTTAGAAACATACAACCTGTTTTAGTTGTCATTCGTCTTCCTCTCTGTAGGCAAAGGACACTTTGGAGATAAAGTTCATTTACTTCTTTCCATGGGAGATCGATGTGTGCACAAAATCAAAGTATAACTTCTAAGTGCTAACTCTGGAATTATTCTATGTGACTCGTCTAAGAGCGTTGGTCATCTGGAGGAAAACATGTGGAGTTCGGACACTTCCAGCTCTGTCGATGAACTCCCCGAATTCTAACAAATTTCCTCTATATGTCACGATTGGCGACCAATCATCATGCAAAGATACCTCCATGAGAACGGATGGAAAGGGGGATATGTGAGGGGTAAACATTTCCCATCAAAGCGAGAGTTTTTGCAGATAAGGGAAAAACAGAGGATGTACTAACTTCTGTGAAAGGAAGTAACATCTGTTATCTATTTTTCCCACTCTAAAACGTCATTTTTCTCATCCAAACGAAAGAATATTTTATAACAAAATATTAACATTATTAATAAAATTACTGATTTAGACCCAGGGGCCTTTCAGGTCTCACAGATATATTGAGTATATATTGGATAAAAGATTCAAAAATTAGAAAGTTATCTCATAAAACAGCTAAATCTGACTAATCAAAATTTTTATTTTATAGTCAGTTGTTCTTTGCTTTGATATCACTTGCAAGATTCTTGTTTCAATCATTGCCAAATAAAACATAAATGGAAATGTTAACATTCAACAATGCATTATTGAATTCAATAACTTGTAATAGTAAAATATGGCCATTATCTCATATGAAAATTTCTCAAAAAGGTTTTTCATAATAACTATCAAGTAATGATTTGTTACAGATCTGTAAATCCATCATAATGCAATGTTTAATAACTCTTTTTACGTGTTTATGTAGTAACTAAATATTGTCAGTTTTTTCTAGATTATAAAAAAAAAACTTTCCTGTACTACTATGACAATATCTTTTCTATAAAAAATACAAATAGTGAAATCCAGTTCACAAATTATTTTTATAATACACATTTTCATCCCAACACCGGAGAATACTAATAAAAACTCTTTCTAACCTGTTACCAGTGCATTCTCCTTCTTCTACTAACTCATAACGAACCAAAATAGCTCTTTAATGAACAAAAATAACTCTTTACTAACATTTTCGAACCTAACGACGGTTCTTCTTCAGGTATTTTTGAATCTCTGATGGAAATGCCACTCATAAAACTTTAAAATATGTATGTTCGAATGCACGTTTCCTGTTTACGTCATTATTAGTCATGCGCAGTCGATTCCAAAACGGCTATCATAAATTACTGTTCATAAGTGCTAGCCACGCTACTGATAGCGTAATCTCTTCTTTATAATTGATGCATTTATTATCCTTAAGGTTAGCTAAGTATATGCTGGCTGCCTCCAATCATTTGATATCGTGTATGTGCCGTGTGGTGTGGATAATTCTGGCTTTTTTAAATTCGGTATCTATATTTGGATCGGAAGCATAAATTGCCAGAGCCGTCGTGTTCCTTTGTTTCTGAATATCTGCAGTGTGTTCTTTCAGTCTAACCTCTAAGGATCATTTGGTGGAACCCACATACAGAAGATGTCTATTGCATCTGCGATCTATAATCAGTATGCTGTAGACCCTGACAGCTTATCCTTATCTGGTTGATCTTTTCCATTGGTTAGGATGTTAAATATCAAAGCGCATCTTCTGTAGGCGATACGTATGCAGTTCTTTTTAGCTATCTTGCCACATAGCCCTCTAATATATGGATTATAACTGACTGGAATGATCTTATCCATATCTTGTCGTTCCTCCTTTGTGGTAGGTCTTGAGCTAAGTTTTGATATCCATGCATTAACCTGCATATGAGCTTGCTGTATCCGTGCTCAGTGGCTATTCAATGTGTAAGCCTTAGCTCTGACTGTAGGGCTTGCTCAGTAGAAGAGTGCATATGTGCTCTCTTAATTAGGGCTTTAAATAATGCAACTTTATATTGTGGTGGGTCACATGACCCTACTGGAATGTATATGCCCTTTGTTCCTAACTTTCGGTACACTGCAGTGTGGATTACAGACTCTTCTACCTTGATGTCAATATCTAGGAAGTGTACATTCATCTGATGCACTTGTTCTATTTCTATGGTTAATCCATATGTGTTATCATTCATTGTGTCGACAAAAGCCTTGATGTCTGGTATTTCTTTCCACAATATGATGATATCGTCGACATATCTCTTATATAAAATGATGTTGTGCAGGTGGTGTGGGAGGACCTTAGCTTCGAGTAGCCTAATCACCATCTCGCATAAGTTCCCAAAGACCGGACTACCCATGGGGACTCCTCTTCCTTGCATGTACACGATACATTAATTAATTATAATTAAATTAATATTTAATACAGTCAATTCCAGTTAATTGGGTCGAATCTCAAAGAACGGAAACCAAACTAATAAATTAATACATAATTTAATCACTTAATTGGGACAACAACAGATAAGGAATTTAGCAATTTTTGGTATATTTTAGTAATCTTCTGAAAATATGTAGGCACTACATACACTAATGTCGTATAGGCCTAATGGTTGGCCTAAAGATTTTGTCTTTTGCTCAGGCGGTTCAGTTTTTCCAGAGGGGGTCAGCATAGCAGGACGTATTATGGGCATTTCATCTGAGGCAGACCTGAATGCAAGTTACTGACCCTGCTCTGGATTGGACTGGACAATCCCCTTAAAAGCAGAGAGACAAAGATGGCTGGACAATTTTTTGAGGTCTCTCGAGTGATTTGGAAGCCAGCTAGAGTTTGTTTTTTTTGTTTTTGTTTTTTTTTGTTTTCTTCATCTGACTTGTTTGAATAAATGAAGAATATCATACTTTGTACAAATTTCATTTGTTATTCATTTTGATTTTAAGAAACTATTTTCTGTAAATAATCCCAGTCCCTTTAATAGTGAGATTACTAAACTTAAATTTTAAACAACTTTTGCATACTTTCGTTTATTTTATTTACTGCAGCTATTTTATCCCTTCCTTCTCTAACTCTGGGTCAAAATATCACACCATAGCTACACCACATCTGATAAAAAATCACACATATTGATAATATATTTGAAATGAATTTTGAATTTGTGTTAAGTTTTTCAATTTTTACCAAGTATTATTATTATTAAATACTTTAATAATTTAAAAGAACTAAATATTATCATTTTCTGTGCTATAAATGCCAAAATATGGTACAAAAAATTATTGTGATTCAATATATTTCCTATCGAGTGCTATGTCTAATTATTGTGAAAAGGTGGGATGGCATAAAAAATCCAAAACAACTTCTTATGGATGGGGGTCCCCTTCCATCTCTAACTCTGGGTCAAATTTCTTTTGAATTTGAGTATTCAAAGTTAGTCATTTGATATACAAGGTACCACTGTATTAACACTCAGAAAATAATTTTTTAGTCATATTATTGTCATTTAGATGACTTCAAAATGGATCCAATTACGGGAGAGAATTTAAGGACTGAAAAAACATTCCATAAATTAATAAGAAAACAGCAAAAAGAATTAGAGACAATGAGAAGAAAACATCATAAGGAAAAAAATGCAGTGCAAAAGCAGCAATGTGCAGCCATTGATAAAATTGTTAAAGGAAATAAAAAGTAAGTTTTAGTTAAAAATAATAATTTCTAGGCTTGATGATAATTGATTTTCACAAATGTTTCTTTTTCAAAGTGATGATTTAGCAAATGATCCAGAGATAAGAGAATTAGTGGTGCAACAAATGCGACAATGGTCAGAACTTCTTGAAAAACAGAGGAAAGAAGAATGGGAATTATTAAAAGATCATCTCTGGCAGCAGGGTGAAGTTCTTAAAAAACTTATGGAACAAGCCCAAGCTGGACAAATGAAACAACTAGAAGCAAAATTTGAAAGGTAAATATGCAATTTCTTTTGTATTTATTAAACATAGCTTTCAATAAAATTATTGTTTACAATTCAATAAATCTGACTTACGGAACCTGTAACCGATGTGTATCACTTTTTCTTTCAACAACCAAACGTTTTCATAACCCCTTCTGGGTTCTTCATCAGGATAACAGCTGGATCGAATAGCAAAAAACGAATTCAAAAAGTTTGAATAAATCCGAACTTCTTAGAGTTTGAATCGTTCCATTCGCTTAATCAGTCACGAGATATGATTGAAACTGTTCTAATTCGACGGTCGATGTTCAAATTTAAGAGAAAGATCCAAAACGTGTTATTGAGATATAAACATTACTTAATATTCTCGTGTTCCCTAATATCATTTATTTTTAAGGCTTAATATAATTTCGTTATCACTCTTTATGGAGTAGGTTTTGCCACGCCATGGAAAGGCTGATCTCTTCTCTTGAATTAATACACTCAGATTTGTCATACGCCCTAAAAATTTCCATCTCTTCTAGCCATTTTAGTTGGTGAATATGTGGTGTGGAGGCAATTATCCGTGCTGCATTGAAGTCCGCCACTATATCGGGATCAGTGGCATAGGTGGAGATACAGGTTCCGTAAGTCAGATTTATTGTATTGTATACAACCCGATGTGCAGTTGATATTATATTATTGTTTACAATTATTAATAAATATCTCAGCAACGTAATGTGTGTTATGATAATCTAGTTGCTGAGTACATTCTGTTAAATAATTGTAATAACCACAAATTGAAATCTAGAGAAAACAAAGAAATGAAAGCCCGACAGGCAAAGATTTCTGTTGAGACAGCTCGAGAAGTTTCAGGTGACAAGACACTAAGAAACAAAGCAGAAAGGGAAAGGTAGGGAGAATGAGTTTTGTTTTATTTTGATTGACTTTACAGACTGATTAGACTTGTCATTCAGGCGCCTGAGAGAGAAAAATAGTAACAATACAAAAAAATTCATCGAGGAGAGGAAAACAGCAGCTTTGAAGCAGGGAAAAGAGAGAGAAAAACTGAAGAAAGTCCATGAGAAGCAGTTACAAGATTTATCAAAAGAAACAGGAAATGTATGTATTTTAGGTCTGCACTTTTTAATTTGTTAAACCTAAAATATATAATTTCTTTTACCATTTTCTGACTTGCAGGCCGTTGAGACATACAAAAATGCCGAAGCCGAATACAAATTAGCAGCAAAGTTGGAATGCTTCATATGAAAAGCCAGCTTGTACAAAAATCTTTTTTGAGCAAAGCCCATACAAAGCACACCATCACTCTACCTCTAGTTATTCCAATAGCCTCAATTTTATTTATAAGAAAAGTTTTTAAATGAGAATTTTAGAAAACAAAATTTCACATAGAAAACATTTGTTCTTTACATTTTTAAAATGTAGCACACTTTTGATTTCATAAGAGTTTGGTAGCATTAAAAATTTGGAATAGCCTGCCATTTATAGGGTGGTAAACATCGATCTCATTTCAGTCGATACAGATACCTTCCAGGATACGAGTGCAAAAAGTACATATCCCTTTTTCCCATACTCCGATGTGTGCTTTTGGCACATGTGGCATCTTGCACTAATCTCTTGTATAATATTGTATTTATAGTGTGCTGCTTCCCAATATAAATTAATCAATGTGATTGTTATTTTGGTGAATAAGTTGTGTAAGCACTTTTCCATCAAATTGTAGACACAAAATTTATAAAACTGCAGTTTTCTAGATATTGGAAGATACCATAGTTTTTCACTGTTTGAAAACTTTTGCAAAAAACAAAAAAGATGAGAAAAAATATCGAATTTCATTTGATTGCCATTTTTAAATACCTTTTAATTGCCATGTAACCGCGCACTGCATCTTCCATGAGCGCAGTTCTCTTAAAACACCGCATGGTTTAAATCACTAGAATCTCTAAAAACTACAGAGGACCACTAAATTTTCTAAAAATTGATAAAGTGCAGGTCATTTATAGTCGGAATATTCTTAAAATGTGCATTTATATATTGCGGCTTTTTTAGATTGATGAATGCACCGCTCTACAGAATTCTTGTAAATAAATTGTAAATGGCTATGCTCACTAAACAGCGCCACAGAGTACACAACATGTACGGAAGCAGAATATTTTTATTTTCTTTTCGATCACCCAGTTTGATTCTACCAGTCCATAATCTCGACATCCTGTCACAGGTACCATATCGAACAATTATTTTAATCTCGAGTACTATCCATTTGGTGCTAATTCCTTAATTATTCAAAGTATTTATCCATATCATTTTAGACAACATGACATGTCACACACATCTGAAGTTTAATTATCACACAGCACAACCTGTCCATTTTCTAGTCTACCATCACAGTGTATTGGATTTATTTATTATTTAGTTTATAGATTCACAAAAAGGAGAAATGCAGAGGAGTGAAGTGACAGACACTGCACATTCTGAATTTTGTGTATATTATTATTATTATTATATATATACTTACATACAGTATATAATTTAATGCATAAAACTGTATAAAATTAAGTGCCAAATTCCATGTTGTATGTGCTAGTGTTTCTCAGCCAGTTACTTTGTTGTTTTGTGGAAATAAAGTGATTGTTAAGTATTTATTTTTATTTAATGTTTTCAAATGACACATTGAGAATTTTGGGATTATTACACAGATTAATTACTGTTCATTTTCATGTTTTTTTTTCCTCACAATTATCAATACTTCTTTAATCACTTACTTAGTTAAATATAATATTACTGTAGTAAATTACAAATATATAGAATGCATTGTATGATACTTAATTTTTATTAATATAAAATGAGACAGACAAAGATTGATGATGCAGAAATTATTTACAATAATTTCGTACTGTTGTTATAAAATGTCAGATCACCTAGAAAGTTTATGCTAACTTTTTGAGTTACTGGGTAAAATAAATGATTTAAAAATACGCAAGTAAAAGATATATTGTGTCTTTGTTATATTACGAGTCTAGTTTTTTAATCATGTAACTGAAAATTACCACAAAATTCAGATTAGAATTAAAAATATCTTGAACATGACTTTGAGATCTTTATGGATGCAAAGAAAAACCTGACAGAATTAAAGGTTTTGGGGACAGAAATGATGATCTGGAGAATATGAGATTCAAAATTTTCTAGTTGAACTACCTCAAGTCCTACGTCCTACCATCCTACACACAGCATAAACTTTTTTGGGGTATTATCTGATTTTTGATATCAGCCAAAATGTCTTTCCATGTAAGACCCACTGAAAATTATTACAGGAATTCATTTTTCATTCCTGTTAGCAAAAGACCTAAAAGTTTTTCATTTTTTTTACATGATGAAGCAATACACAACAAACATATAACATGAAAAATTGCATATTAAATGGTTCAACAAATTTCAGACAGACATCAAATATGACTAATATATAACATGTTTGTTCACAAATCCAGCTTCAAATATTTTCAGTTCATTATTGTTATCATTTTGAATTGTTAAACAATTCAGAGTATAAGACAGCTCCGTAAGTTTACAAAAAATATCAAAATACATTTTCAGAATATTTTCAGATTGTTGAATTTAGAATGCTATTATATCAAACATTCTACTCAAATATTTATTTTAAATTTAAGGAACATAAATTACATATAAGAAATTTAAAAGAAATACTGTACTCAATTAGAATGTTGAGTTTAGAATGTTTATTTGTATCAAGCAGATCTGAGAATAGAATTGAAAATATTAATCATTATATAATTAACACATTTTCTGGCTGCTTGAACATTTTGAGTGTTTTTTTTTAATTAAGTTTTCAAATAACAATAAAATTTGGTCATAATGTTCATACTTGTTGTCATGGTCTTGCTGTCTTGACAATATCACTTGTGATATCTTTTCTTAGTCCTATGCCCTGCAGAGAGCGTGGTGATATTATGAATTGATGGCTTTAATTGTATCTTTCCACTGCTCATGGTGTTTTGCCATTTGGATGGCTCCATACTGTAATCATCATTACTTGGTCTGCCCACCTAATCCAACATCTGTCTCTAGTGCATTTGCCATTGATCTTCCCTTCTAGATTTTGTTTCTCAAATCCATTTTCTCATCTGGAAATATGTCCCAAGAAGCAAAAGTAGGATTGGTATATTTTAGTGGTAAGGCATATTCAGAGTTGCCAATTTAGCGAAAAAGTCACTAAATTTGGCGAGTTTTTTGCTTTAGTTAGCGCCTTTTTTTAAATTTAGCAACGGAGATTTTTCTTAGAGGTTTTTTAGTAAATTTAGCTACATTTTGGAGATAATTTTAGAGATAATACACAAAATAAAAAAATTTCATAAAACTATTAAAATTTAATAAATTCCTTCATTTATTTATCTTTAATGTGCAATAATTATGTGCATGAATTGAAAATAATATTTTAATAAGTGGCAACACTAATCAGAGCTCAAGTTTTCTTTGAGAATCCTTATTATCTATTACCTATCACTCATCGTGAGTAACCAAGTGTTTTAATATAGTGTAATTTTGTGATAATATTATTTACTATTATTTGTTGATATTGCAATTTATTATTTATTACCCTTATATCAGTGAAAATGCCAAATGAAAGAAGATAGACTCAAAAATTTCAAATAGAATGGCTACGTGACGATAGGTATAAAAATTGGTTGCAGGAAATTGAAGGAGAAAATACAAAGTGTCATGGCAAATATTGTAACTGCATTTTGATAGCAAAAGTAAGTGATTTAGAAAAGCATAGGAAAACTCAAAAACATATAAAGCCAAACCATCGTTTAGTATTCAGCTGAGTGCAAACATTCTTCCATTTATGAAAAGCTCGAATGTTCATAGAACAGAGGGAAATATGGCACTTTTTGTAAATGAAGGTTGTCCTATAAGTCATGTAGACAAACTAACTAAATTCCATACAACAAATTTTTCAGATAGCAAAAGTTGTAATAATCTGACTCTTGGACGAACAAAATGTTAAGCCATAATTTCAAATGTATTAGCACCACACGTTAAAGAAAATTTAATAGTTGATATAGGTGATAGCAACCATAGTTTACTAATTGACGAAAGTAATGACATTTCAGTTTCCAAGCTTTTAGATATTGTAATTACATATTACTCTCAAAATAAAAAATGTATAACTACAATTTTTTTTAGATTTAGTACCACTTAAAGAGTGCAATGCTGATGTAATTTGTGAAGCAATTAAATTTTCCTTGAAAAATAACGCCTTGGATTTACATAAACTCATTGCAATTGGAACAGATATTGATTCCTATCATTACAGAAGGATTAATGGTGTATATGTTAAACTCAAAGCCAAAGTACCTGCTTTGATTTTGGTACGTTGCCCCTGTCATTCATTACAATTAGCTATTTCTCATGCTATAAAAGAAGACATTCCAAGAAATATAGAATTTTTTATTAAAGAAATATTTAATTGGTTTTCTCATTCTGTGATTACACAATCAAAATACAATGAACTCTATTCTTTGATGAATGATGGAACTGAGCCATTGAAATTAGTACAATGTAGTGAGACTCGTTGTCTGTCAATTCAGACCACTATTGATAGAATTTTGAAATAATGAAATGATTTAAAGGCAAATTTTAATTTGGCCAGAGCAAACAAAAGATATTATACAGCAGAAATTTTGTTCTCAATGTTTGATGATCAAAGAAATTTCTTATTTCTTAAACCTGTACTTGATGAAGTTCAGAGATTAAATAAAATATTTGAATCTGAGAATAATGATCCTACGAAGTTGC